TTTTCATGTGTGTTTACTGTTTGTCCTTACAAGATCTTGCCATAAGTTACAGTTGTTTTTTTTTATTTTTATATATATGTAAAAGTTAAGATAAAAAATTAGATACTTCATTTATATGATTTTCAGTTTAAAGCAACTATATGCACAGGATTTTTTTGTTTTTTCACAGTTTTGGTTTAGAAAAAAATCCCAACATGGTTAACAAATACAAATAATTACACCATTACAAACACAATTACAATTTAATATTCTTGTCATGACTAGAACATACATAAAATAACACCATTACAAACTCAATCCCAATTTAATATTCTTGTACGTCTATAAATAAAACAAATCTATTTATTTTTTAGAAATTTACCTGTGATAATATAAACGTCACAAAAAAATACATTGATCCATTCATGTGACGCGCAGTTTATATTTCGTTTGTCGTGTCCTGGTGTGCTGTCGTAAATTGATGGGAGGTGTCCATTGTTATTCTGCGGTTTATATATTGTAATGTACTATTATATTATCTATTTATGTATTTCGCTGTGCTGAGTGTTCTTGCGTTTGTTTGTACCTTATTCCCGTCACGTAGAGTTGTCATTTTAGCGGTATTTTTTAACATTGCCATATAAGCGGGAGGTTTGGCTTGCCATAAAACCAGGTTCAACCCACCATGTTTTCTTGAAATATCCTGTACCAAGTCAGAAATATGGCAGTTGTTATCAGACAGCCCGTTTCTATGTATGTTGACGTTTGCTTTTGTTGTAGTTCAGTGTTTCTATTGTTCCGTTGTTTTCCTCTTACAGTTGATGTATTTCCCTCGGTTTTAGTTTGTTTCCCGGGTTTGTTTTTGCTTAATCGAATTATTATGACTATTGAACAGCGGTATACTACTGTTGCCTTTATGTACCATTAGTTTTGCACGTTAAACAAAAAAAAAAACATGTATCGAAATTAATATAAAAAAGAAGATATTTTTACCAAGACGACATCTTTCCTTTAGAGACCACATGACGTAGATATACTATAGGTCATCGTACGGCTTTAGCAATGAGTAAAACCCACACCGTATAGTAAGCTATAAAAGGCCACGGAATTACAAAATTCAAATCGATTCATTCAAAATTTATTCTGTTATGGAGTTATTTTTGATTGAATTATATTATTGCATATTCTATGTTCAAATCAAACTGAATCTAGATTTTGTAAGTTATAAGCAATAAGAGAACAACTGACGTAAGACATCTTGAACTATTTTTATGTACATCATGTAAAATGTGTTACGGTCACTTTCTTAGGCCACATACAACAATGAGTTTGTATATTAGCTCTTTATAATGTTTTGTCTCATTAAAAAAAGTGCACCATTTTTTTGTGAAATCTTTTGTGTGTGTAATGTACAGCAGAAGTCCAAAAGTATATCCAACATTCAGAAAAATTGCTCTTTAAATTCTTACAAATCTAGCCAAAACACATCCATACCTCTATGGACAAGGAAAGAGATGTTCCGAAAACTGCAAGTATTACCTTTTTGCACCTGGCCTAATCATCTTTCCATATCAAAATCAGTTACAATACAACATCAAAAAAATTATTTCAGCTATCTTCTTTTATTTCCACCCCATAAAAACTAAGAAATAAATGAGAAAGGGAAAGAAAAAAAATAAAGAAAAAATACACTTTTGTTAAAAGACTATATTCGTGGACAACGAAAAGTGGGGTCTCTGGCCTTCTATTGCTTTTAACTTACAAACTATGATGTTAATTATTCAACAAAATTTGACAGATAAACAGGATATGCAAAGAGGTGTTTTTCTTCTGTTTTAAAGTACATAACAAAAATATATTTTATAACCGTTCGGCTTTTAGCAGTAGGGAAAAGACCTATGTCCGGACATATGTTATACTTAACTTTTGTATTCGGCTGACCAAATATACATATCATCTGTTTGGAATGAGCGATGGAACAGGTTTTATTGTATGTACCTGTTATTCAGTGGTTGTAGCTTATTTGTGTGTCTCATATTTGTTTTTCACATACATGGAGTCGATCGTTTGAATTGTTTTATATTTGTCATTTTGGGGCCTTCTATAGCTTGCTATGTTGCATGTAATTTCCTTATTGGTGAAGACCGTATGGTGACTTATAATTGCCTTTTTTATACGTCATTTGCCGTCATACCACATCTTCATCGTCTTATTTTATATTCGATTGAGATTTTCTTCTGGTAAACGCAAGATAACTCAAATATGAAACACATCCTTCACTCATTTTGTATTCTGTTAATGTATATCTTTTTGAACATAGTCAGATATAGTTAATACAAGTAACAAGAAAATATTTACGACGAAAGAAGCATGGCAAACCATCCGACAACCAACAAGGACTGAAGAAAAAACTTGACACCAATAAACCAAGCGGACATCACCATATGCAATCAATATCTTAAGTTCTGCCATACAGCAATTTTCAGAATTAGCATGATATATTTTCCAAATATCTAATTGTTTTCCACACCTATTATTTTCAACTTGCCGTTCTGTGCATTGTCACCGAAGCTTTAAGTGCTTTTGTTTTGATTAGTTCCCATCATTAAATACCTTCCTTGTAGAGAACATACCAATTATCGGAACTAGCATTGATGTGTTTTAATAGTTTATACATAATTAAGCATGTATTGCTAACCATTTATGAACACTTATAATTCTACAGTCGGTCGATACTTATATTTTGACATTGCACAAAGTCATGCCTTTCTTGGACTGCTCATGACGTCTTTACTAAATCAATTTCAGGTGTACTGATTGATAGTTTATTGTGCGAAAATTTTATTAATATTTCATGTGAAGCTTTGGAACTAGCTTTCCGTGACTGCAAACACTCTTAGAACAGGACATTGTGTCCTTTGTCTCTCTGTTAGTTGTTTGTTGTGGGTTTCTGTCTTCCATAGTTATTTTCATTTATTGAGTTAAGCATAAATCAAGGTCGGTTTTCTGTTCGATTTGGATTGAATCACATTTTGGACATACCTTGGATCTTTTACAGCTTACTATATGGTATGTGTTTTCTCATTGTTGAAGGTCGTACGGTGACCCGTAGTTGTGTATGTCTTCGACTTTCTGTCTCTAGTGGAAAGATGTCTCATTGGCAATACTTACACATATCATCGTTGTTATATTGAAGTGATCGTTCAAATGATAATTTTCGGTCATATATGTCAATCATGGCGGGTTTGTGATATCACAGTGACTTATGACACTTCTGAACCAAACCGACCAAACAATGTCATGTATTCCATTAAATTGAACATTTATTTGAACATTTTTATTGTTGTAAAAATATAATTGTATTGCAGGACGTTAATCCTTGATGGATAGTAGGTCAGAATTAAAATAAATATCGCTGAGCGTTTATGTAACACATTCAAATATACGACATAATATTTTAAGAATCCGAAAGAAAACTCACGAATTTATAAGATTATGTTTCAGTAAAGATATATAATAAAGACTTTCAGAAGTTACAAACGCTGCGAGATATTTATCTTTTGAATTGGCGAGGTGCTATTCAAGTCCACGTTTTGTTTAAAATCATATAACAAAGCAAAATAGGGTGTGAATAAATAAAATCTAACAGCAGCATTTAAAAGGTCAAATAACGTGTGAAAAACATATGAATATGGTTTTATTTGAGTAATTCATAAAATTAACACACTCTGAAGAAGAAAACGCATTCAGAAATCCATCCAGTTTTTGTTAAAACAGTTTTATATTATCATCCAATGTCCTTGTTCTCCAGGGTCGCCTTTCCAACCACGAACTGTTCCAGATGGGTCGTTTTTCATATAGACAAACCAGTCAAGCCACTTTTCTGGTGACAACATGTAATACCCATCAGAAAACCTGATTACTTTCCACTGTCCACTAGAGCCGGGATTTCCTTTCCACCCATTCAATCTACCCTCTGCTCCACTTCTCATGTACACATACCATTCGGGCCATTTCACTGAACGCAAATAGAAAGTATTGTCTACTGACGAAATCGTATCAAAGTGGAAGTATCCTTGATTGTTTAAATTTGTTGTTCCAGTTATGGAACCATACTTATCATTGCGCATAAATGCATACCAGGTTGGCCATGTTTGGGTCCGAAGTTTACGAGACCTTTCCCCTAAGAATGCCAAATTCTGAAAGGCAAGTTGACATTTGCCTAAATACTTCGAAACTTCAGGCAACTCAGATGGTTTCAAGTGTACAAAGAAAATAGCTTGTTGGTATGTGGGATTCGTCAAAAATTTTAAGAATTCTTTGTCGTTCGATTTCATATTCTGAATTACGTTTTGAATGCTATTCGCTGTTGACACACTATGTCCTGCTTGTTTGACAGTGATGTACATTTTCCACAGAACGGCGGATCTAAGGACAGTCAGCTTTACAAAAAGTCGCGTGTATTCAATTGCCCGTTTGACCTGCTGCTCATCTTGGCTTTTTGAACTGTCTCTTATCTTTGATTGTATTATTCCGAGGAATTTAACTCCAGAATAGATAGGAATATGTGCAGACAGAGCAGAAAGTTCATGTTCTTGTAAATCGGTAATTCCGTCAAGGTATGCTAATGAATCGCCAAATACTTTCTCAGTACCGTATGCTTCTGCTCTAAGGTTGGAATCGTCGAACTTTCTAAGTGCTTCATCGATAGCCTTCCTAACAACCGATCCAATGTCCGTATCACCGCCACCTATTGAGCTTACCAATCCAGATATTACCGTGAAAATGCTACTTATTATCGGACCGACTTTTGGAATCAGTTCTGTAATTGATGACAGGATGTCTAATGTACCAGAGACAATTTCTGCGACATCACCACTTGTCAAAGATGGAGCTGCACTACCGACGGCGTCTATTGTTGAGGCAATCCCGTTCAATCCATCGTCATCTTTTAGATATTTTTCTATTTTTCCTAGTTGTTCTTTTGCTAATTGTTGATTGGCCTTTAAATTTGAATCCGATTTTTCCAAGCGATGTCTGCCATCTAGCTTCTGTCGCAATGAAAATCAACATCATCAAAATCCATAGCAGAAGAACAGAACGCTTTTGTACTTTCATGTCTGCAATTAAAAAAAATGATTTTACTAAGCTGAAAATAAATAGATTTAGTCTGTCCGTGTACATTTTCTTAGTAGACAAGGAAAACAATTATTAACTTTTTAGACTAGTGACAATTTAATAGCAATTCCCTGTAATCACCAACAAAGTTGGGGCACGGTAAGTCTGAGATTGCTTTGCAATTTTGTGTTGGTAGCTATCGACATACATATAGGAAATATATTGACAAAACATGTGTTTCTGTCCCCGTTGCCATGGTCTCCTTGGATTTTCATTTTCAGGCAGTTATCATGCACACATTTTAATTAACTGAATATTGTAACATTTGTTCGTTAAAATATAACATTTAATTAGTTAGAATAAGGATTTTGTTAGAAATGGTTTCAAATATACCCATACTTTGAAAAGATAAACTGTTCAGAACGATTATTGCTTTTATTTGGTAATAAGGTTAAATGCAAGAGGTCCAGGTCATGTTAAAAGTTCTTAGCAACGACCCTTATAGACCATAACAAAAATACTTAAAAAAACTTAAAATCACTAAACAAACGCCGAATTGTATTTTGTGTTTTTATTGACCTGGCCTACAGGGCAAATTAAGCTTTTCTGATCTCTTGCCATCCGCCATCTTCGTCTGTGAACTTGTGCAAAATTCTGATTCTCTGAATTTGCTTGGCAAATTGGAACCAAAAACTTATCATTCTTATAATAAATAAATACTATAATATAGAATAAAAATTTGATTTTGCGTTTGTGCTTGAAATGTTATTCTTTTTTTTATTGTATCAATTTAACGCAAACATACCAGCTGAATCATACAGCATCCTTGGAGGCAATCTAGCATATTTAAGCTATTTTGTATTGAAAACTTTTAAAGATAGATGGAAAATTTAATAGCAAACATTTCCAACAAGACTGTTTAATCAGCATGACCGCAATTGCCCATTGACTCAATTTAGGCGTTATGCCCTTAAATGACGACTGTTACCCATTTTTAAGTCGAATTAAAAGTAATCTTGAAACTGCAATAAATATAGAAAAATTTATATAACAAAATTTATTAGCCAGACAAGATCTACAAGAAAGTCAAATCTGGCATGAATCTTCAGTCAACTTCCCCCTTCTAATGATGATTGTATCCTTTGTGTTTTGCTAAAACTTATTATCGATAAAGAGAAACTGTACACAGCTAAAACAATCAGCAAAAACAAGATGTTGAAAAACTATAAAGCACAGAGAGCGAATTCAAACTTGAAACATCAGAGTCAGTCAGCTATATTAGATATACAGACATGTCAATATGATCAAAACCAGTTTGTCTACTCCTTTTGAGTTATAGCCCTTCAGTAAAATTTTCTCCGATTTAAGTGTTTTTAACGAGAGCAATATTAGAAAGAGTAAATTGTAAAAAGCAACAATGTTAAGCAAAATAACTTCTACAAATAAGTGAATTGACAATCGGCACATATTACCATTCAAAGTCATTTTCGCCTACTTTTGTCTTTATGGCAATTATTAAAAAAATGTTTTAGTAAAAGAGTAACTATAACAAGTAAGAATAGGCAGAAGCAAGATCTTTAAATTAATTATCATTTTTATCTCATCATGGAAGTGTTTTCTCTCATTTAAAATAACAATATTTCTTTAATAAAGAAAAACATTAAGCTAAAACAAATTATGGAATCGATTAAAATGCTCGGACTGCAAATATGAAAATGAAATGACATTAATTCAACACTTTCAGAGCAGGTTAAATTTTACTCCGAGTTGTTTATCACTGAGGGTGTGGACAAAAATAGCGCAGAAAAACTTATCGGACGTATTGACAGGAAACTGACGGACGATAATAGACAAAATATAGAACGACAAATTGACGTTGATGAATTAAGAAAGACAGTTAAAAATCTTAAGAAAGATAAGTCTCCGGGAAGGGATGGGGTCATATCGGAATTTTATCATATATACTGGGATCTTATCAAAACGGATTTCACTTAAGTAGTTAAGGAAGTATTTGTAGAAAATGAACTCAGTAAATCGCAATACCAGGGAATGATACTACATAAGGAAGGGGAACAAGAATTAATAAATAAAAAAAAACAAAAAAAAACGGCGGCCTTTAAGCTTGATGAATACGGATTATAAAATTATATCAAAGATGTTGACAGAGCATCTAAAACCGTTATTAGATAAAATTATTCAATCGGATCAAAACGGGTAGAAATATAAGTGATGGAAATAGACTTTTACAGGATATTATTGAATATGTAGCACATGAGGATATTTAGGGATTAGCTATATTTTTAGACCAGCAGAAAGCTTTTGATAGAGTCGAATGGGGATGGCTGATAAACGTAATGGAGGGCTTCAATTTTGGTAATAATTTTTGTAGCTGGACAAAAAAGCTTTTTCAAAATGCCAGCAACGTATTAAAACAAATGGTTTTCTGTCTAAATCATTTTCAATACGCAGATCAATCAGACAAAGATGTCATTCGCGCAAATGTAGAAATACAAGGAATCAAAATACCAACGATAAACGGCCACATTGAAACTAAATCATCAATGTTTGCGGACGATGCGCAACTTTTAAAAAATCCGAACTATTGGCTGAAAAAGCCTTTGAAATGTTGGAAATATATGAAAAAGCCTCCGGTTCCAAAATAACTTCGAGAAAAGAAAAGTCTTGTTTATTGTTTATTGTTTAAAGGGGAAAAAACCAAGTTTCAAAAAATATCTTGTATCAAGGATAACATAAAAGATTTAGAGCTGCCCCAAGCTTATGACATTTATAACAATAAAATATAGGATTCCTTAATTGGCAAGATAAAAAACTGTATTCACGTTTGGAAAACAAGACATTTAACTTAGAGAGGTAAAGTATTGATTATAAGAAAACAATTAATACCTATTTTGGGATACGAGGTTGCGATGAGGGGTATACCTAATGAGTGTGATAAAGATAAAACAACTCAATTTCCTGGGATTTTGTTTTTGGCTCTAAAGTCAGCCTTGTCGACAGAAAAATATGTTGTCTAGATAAAAGCTTCGGGGGTATCAAAATGATCAGTTTCGAAAGTTTCATGAAAAGCAAACATGTAGAATTAATTTTTAGAATTTTAGAAAGTACAACACAAAGATGGAATGCAATTGCCAAATACTGGCTAACACACTTTGACAAAAAATTTGATATTGAATATTTTATATGTACCTGTAAAGATCTAAATGGAATTAACATTAACTATATATGCCAAATTTGTACTAAAAGATGGTTACTACATGGTATGAACTTAATAGTAAAATGACCGATTTTTAACAAAATAGCATTCTTGAATATAATATATTTTGTAACAACAATACAAAACGGTAAGGGAAACATTTGCTCTTCCCTTCCTTTACCAAGAGTCATATCGCCAAAATAAAAGATGTTTGGAATATCTGTACGGAAACCTTTCATAGTAATAAAATAATATTTGATTAACTAATAGATAAACGTAATTGGACATGCGAATACAATATAATAAAGAAATCAATCCCCACTGATTGGATTAACGAATTAAGAAGCGCCATTCCTAATCCAACTAATTTGAAGCACATAAAAATCCAGAATAACAACATTCAAAATCATGATTTGGAAAAAACATGCATTCCAAAAAAAATATTCAATTAAAATGATTACAAAAAAAAAATAAAATATGTACTAGTGCAAAATGTGAAATTATATGAATAGAACATTTAGTACGGAACAAGACTTGCAATCAGTCTGAAAGAAGCTTCACAAGCTGCCTGTATCAAACAATATTTTCCAATTCCAATGGAAATCACTACATTGTATACGTTATACTGAATTTAAATTGAATAAATTCGAAAGTCCGATGGCCTATGTAACTTATGTGGCAAATGTTTTGAAACCCAAGATAATTTATTCTATTATGGTTATAAAATTCAAAACGTCATTGAAGAAATAAAAACATTGCTATCTCTGTGCATATATATACCGCTAAACTTTGATTCCAAAACATGATTATTTGATATAATCAAGATCTTCATAAAACGGAAATAAATATTGGAAATTTTATAGTGTTCTCGGCAAAATTTAGTATTTGGAAAGGTCGAAACGACATTAAATTCAACAAAACAGCATTTAATGAAACATCTATCCTCCTTATTTTTAAGAACGTTACGAATGATTTTATCAAAATGATCGCTTAATCAAACAAAAAAAAAACACACTTATTCGAAATAGACAAACTTGACCGTTTATCTCAAATATTTTAATTACTATTAATAGTCGGATTTGCTTATTTTTTCCTTATTATTTGCTCTTTTGTAGATATATATATACATTTTTATGAAATCGCTTATGCCTCGGTTTTATAGTTATAGTTATCATTTGAATACAAAAGGCACACTTTGAACTAATGTATAGATTACACCTTCATTTACCAACAATCGTCATTATTTATATAAGTTAATTCTATATTTTATATTTAAAACATATTTATATTACATACTTCATAATTGTATTACCTTGTTTGTAATAGTATTTTACTCACCACAAATTGTGTTTCTTTATAAGTGCACATACATTTACTTCACAAATATTCCTTCATCTAAAATTCTAAAGTGTTTATATACTTTATTACCTAAAGCTTCAAGCAGGTGTCCTGTCGCTGTCAATATCTAAGAGGCATTTAACCTGGAACACAATTTAGATAACAAAAGATTTCATAATTCATTGTACATTATAAATCTTCCTCTTATAAACAATAAACAAAATATTTCTTTTGATAAACACATTATAAGACTTTTATGCGCATAGTATCGAAATACAATAAGCATTTTGATAAAATAATGGTCTCTTTGAAAATAGAATTAGTTTGCAGTCTTTGATATTTCAAAAAAAATGGAGGAATAGACAACCTGGAACCAAGAGTCTACATTATTCATGTAGGTCCCAGGTGCGACAAATTGTCATTTAATAGATAAGTAAATAAATAAAATTTATATTATGTGTAAATAATGATATAATGGGCTATAAAACTAGAAGCCTGTACTATCATCCAAATGTGGTGTTTATTAATCTAAACAAAAGATATTAATCAATCATATAAATTGTAATGCAAATACGCATATATATAGTATAGAATCATTATATTAAACAATAAATGATGATAAATTCAAATACCACATCACCTGTGTGAATATTTTGTACAAACATTTTTTAGTCTAGGGATTATAAACAAACAAACACTATATACAGCTACATTTGTATCAACCATACACACAAGTAAAGTCACTATCTGTTGCTCCTTAAACAAATTACACAATCGTTTATTGACTGTTAATCAAAATAAGAATACGGGCTGGCAGGGCGGAAGCGAAAGGTTAAAAGAAAGGAATTAAAGATGAGTGGCGCCACTTAGTTTTCACAACAATTATAATAGATAGAAGTCACTTTATTTTCTGCTGCCATGTTAATTAGGAAACAAAATTGAAATAGTTAGAAATGAGTTTTGGATATTGGCTCTCAGTGATGAGCAAAATTTCTGTGCAAAATTAAGCAAGGGTTTGTGTTCATTAATACTATTTCGAAAATTCTAGAATCATAGAGTACCCTTAAAAAATGCCATTTTTCTATCAAAAAAGCTGCGGCACCATATGTGTCTTGCAGTTTTTATCGTTTTAAACACAGCCAAACAGTTGAAATGGGCTGGTCAATGCTCCCCCCCTCCCCCCACCCCCTCAACCCTCCTCCCCAGTTTTCTGCAAATGGGGGAACCTGTGAAGAAAATCATTTCAAATGATGAACTAATGTATTTTCAATCAAAAAATTCGAACGTAAGCAGGACGGGCATATAGTAATAGAATAATGCACAGATTCCGATTTGATTTCAGTATATGTCAGTATAGCGAAATAACGGTTTCTGACGCATCGCTGTATTTTTCGAGATATTGTAGAAATTAAATTGTAAATAAAGTTACTCAGTAGAAAACTGTATCAGAAGAAAAATTGTTGGTAACCGTGAATCTATAGTCTTTATGAAATTTTTACTGTTTGTTTTATTTTTCTGTTTAAGTGATATGATTCATTAAGTCGCTGTAAGAACAAAAAATTTGTCAAGGACTCTGTCTTTGAATATTTATCCTCATCTTTAATAAAATTGCATGTATTTATGTATATCTAAAAAAGGGTGGGGACATATTTTTGCTGACGTTAAGCGAAATTGTTGTATTTTTATTGCTAAATGTTGCCAAAATACCCCTAAAATATCAGAATTAGGTAAAAAATCAAAGGCCATGCATTTTTCTCCTTAGTACCGTCGAATTGAATAATTTGTACACGGTTCATATAAAAAAAAACTTAACAGCAATGATAAAATCTTAATTTCAGCCGTTTTATAGTCTATTTCATAAAATTTTGTTTTGCTCTTGCAGCTGTTCTCATATATTCGTGACAAAAACATATAAATTGGACATAGTTATAAAATAATCAGCCTCAAGTCTTTAATAATCATAAATCGAACTTAATTAATCAAAAACCGCGTGTTTACACAGCCAAACAGTTAAAATATGCTGTTCAATGCCCCCCAAGTTTTCAAAAAGTATAGTTTTCGGCAAATGGGGGTAACTGTAAGGAAAATCATTTTAAATGATGAAAAACTGTATTTTTAATCCAAACTTTTGAACGTAAGCAGTAGGGGTATATAGTAATAAGATTGTTTCTGTGTGTGTTGCGTTGTCGTTTGTTGTTTGTTCACTTCAGTCTTTCTGTTGTTTCGTTGTCCAAATGTACTATATTGTATTGCTTATTTAGCGTAATTCTCTGTCCGTTCAACCCACCATGTTTTCTTGAAATGTCCTGTACCAAGTCAGGAAAATAGCCATTGTTATATCATAGTTCGTTTCTGTGTGTGTTGCATTTTAGTGTTGTGTTTCTGTTGTGTCGTTGTTCTCCTCTTATATTTGATGTGTTTCCCTCAGTTTTAGTTTGTAACCCGGATTTGTTTTTTTCTCAATCGATTTATGAATTTTTATGGTATACTACTGTTGCCATTATTTATAGACTAATGCACAGATTCCGATTTTATTTCAGTATATGTCAGTATAACGAAATAACGATTTCTGGAGCATCGCTGTATTTTTCGAGATATTGTAGAAATTGAATATGTAAATTAATAGGTTAGGTGGTGGAAATCTGTATCAGATGAAAATTGCTGGTCACCATGAACCTATTGTCTATATCAAATTTTAACTGTTTTTTTATTCTTCTGTTTAAGGGGTAGGATTCATTAACCCACTGTAAGAACTGGAATTCTGTCAAGGACTCTGTCTTTAATCATTTCTCCTCATCTTTGATTAAATTGCATGTATCTAGGCATACCTAAAAGGGGGCATACTTGAGCTGACGTTAAAAGATTTTTGTTTTTGTATTTTTTATTGCTAAATGTTGCCAAAATACCCCTTAAATATTAGTTAGGAAAAAAATCAAAGGCTAATATACATTTGTCTTCTTAGTACCGTCGAATAGAATATTTTGTACACGGTTCACATAAAAAAACAGCAATGCTCAAATCTTAATTTCAGCCGTTTTATAGTCTATTTCATATACTTTTGTTTCGCTCTTGCAACTGTTATCATATATTCCTGACAAAAACATATACATTGGACATAGTTATCAAATGATCAGCCTCAACAGTCTTGCATCCAAGCCCCAGATATCACATCAAAATGATGTTGGGCTTATCATCTGCATCACTTAGGAAATACCATAATTTCAAATAAAACTGTCACTTCAATTTAAATTTGTAAGAAACCACATGTTTTGTTAACCCGATTCTCAAGTGATAATTGTTGTATAAATGAATTAATAGTAAATACACAGCACTGATCCTTAATTGTGACTATTTAATTAATTATGTGTTTAGTTTATTTGAAGAAGAAAAGTATATTTGTGTGGAGCTGATATAAAGAATAATATAAAAGTCATATTTAATTCATATGTGTAAAACACAACCTGCTGTGGGAAATTAAATGTCTATATATTAAAAGAAAGAATAATTGAACAGAAAATGAAACAACTTTCGTGTCATTGAATAAGAACTCATTATTTGATTGAAATGTTTTTATATCATATGTACATGTGTATGTAAATTATAACTAGCTATTCAAATATATATTGCAACAAGAACAAAAAAAGTAAATGAATTATTAATGATAATCTCACAAAGTTATATATATATAGCAGGGTTTAAGAACATCAGTTGTTCGACCTGCTAGTCAAATGCGTTTTGTTAAAATATACATTTTTCCACTTTTATGGTCTTTTGGAAAATGTTGTTTGTGCTGTATTTAGACCCCTCTACCAAGAAATTTGTTTTGCATGCACACGTATAAAAATTGCGGTTTTTATCCAGCGCAATCATAGGTTTGAACGTTTTGCAATTTAGACTTGTTCTTATATTTTTTCGTTTGGGCATGTATTATATTTGCCTTCGGGTTTATATGATCCGTTCATCCGATTTCGACTCTTTCAAAATTCAAGAGTCTATCCTTAATTGAGGTAAATTATATGGCGTTCCAAATACCGTTTCGATTCCTAACATCATTGAAGAGACATTAATTGTCGAAATCCGGATATGGTGAACAAATTTTTGCACCTCATGTTTGCGGTATACCATCTTTTCCGCAATTTTATTGTTTTCTGTTTAGTAATAATTTAATTATAAGATCCATTTTGTTGCATCTTGTGATCCGTTTATTTGGCAATCGCCAATGGCAGTCAGCAGGGTTTAAGAACATCAGTTGTTCGACCTGCTAGTCAAATGCGTTTTTTGAAATATATATTTTTTCACTTTTATGGTCTTTTGGAAAATGTTGTTTGTGCTGTATATAGACCCCTCTACCAAGAAATTTGTTTTGCATGCACACGTATAAAAAGTGCGGTTTTTATCCAACGCAATCATAGGTTTGAACGTTGTTTTCAATTAAGACTTGTTTATATATAAATGCATATATTTTTAGAATTTCAAATGTGACGTCACTTTGTGCGTTGAAGCTTTAGCTAACTCGGCTGTGTATTTTTATATGTTGGATTAAGTTGTTTGATGTAATGTATCCGTTTTTATTCTGTAGTTAGTCCCCACTTTGGTTTTATCATGTATATCTATTATATAGTCATTTTATAATATTTACTGTTTGCAAAATTATAAATTATTCTAAATAATAAGGATGTTCTTGTCCCAGGCAGAAAATCCTGGCCATGTTAGGCGCAACTTTTTGGAAGTTTTCACTACTGGACGAAAAAACAACTGTCCATACCAGTAACAGTCGTTGTACGACTGTCTTAGTCTGTGGAAGACTGAAGATGACTGTCAAAGAAACTGATACAGTTGATTAATGTCTGTCCCAACACTTTTATGGGTTGTGAAAATCAAAAAATGTTATCAACAGTAATTTAAGGACTGTTGCAGTGGTTTACGGGGTTGTCACAGTCAAATACTATTTATTACAGTCTTTCCAAAAGTTGTGGCAGTTGTATAATGTTTGTCCCAACCTTTTAATAGTTGGGACAGTTGAAATTTGTTTGTGTCAACTTTTCAGACGTTGATGCAGTCAAAAAATGTTTGTTACGACGTTTTTAGAGTTGGGACAGTTGTAAAATGTTTGTTACAACTTTTTAAAGGTTGTTACAGTCAT